AGCCTGGCCAACGTGGTGAAACCCCATCTCTACTAAAAATACAAAAATTAGCCACACGTATAATCCCAGCTACTCAAAGAGGCTGAGGCACGAGAATCGCTTGAACCCGGGGGGCGGACATTGCAGTGAGACAAGATTGCACCACTGCACGCTGCACTCTACCCTGGGTAACAGAGGGAGACTCTGTCTCCAAAAAAAAAAAGAAGTGGAGGGTCCTAAAGGTAGAAGTAGAGAAGACTTATTTATTTATTTATTTTTATCTATTTATTTTTTTGAGACAGAGTCTCACTCTGTCATCCAGGCTAGAGTGCAGGGGTGCCATCTTGGCTCACTGCAAGCTCCACCTCCCAGGTTCACACCATTCTCCTGCCTCAGCGTCCCAAGTAGCTGGGACTACAGGTGCCCGCCACCACACCCAGCTAATTTTTTTTTTTATTTTTCAGTAGAGATGGGGTTTCACCGTGTTAGCCAGAATGGTCTTGATCTCCTGACCTCGTGACCCCCCACCTCAGCCTCCCAAAGTGCTGGGATTACAGGTGTGAGCCATCGCGCCCGGCCGAATTTATTTTATTTTTGAGTCAGGGTTGCTCTATTACCCAGGCTGGAGTGCAATGGCACGATATTGGCTCATGGCAACCTCCACATTCCAGGCTCAGACGATCCTCCCACCTCAGCCTCCCAAGTAGATGGGACTACAGGCATGTGCCACAATGCCTGGCTAATTTTCGTGGGGTTTTTTGTTTGTTTGTTTGTTTTCCTTTTTCTTTTTTTGGTAGAGCTGGGATTTTGCCACATTGCCCAGGCTGGTCTCGAACTCCTGGACTCAAGCAATCCACCCACTCTGGCCTCCCAAAGTGCTGGGATTACAGGCCTGAGCTACCACCCCCGGCCAGAATTCATTTTTTTCAACAGCTAAAATAAAACTTACGTTTACTTAAATAAACACTGTTATAGAAAACAAACATGATAGTATTTTAAAAAGTGTTAAGGGCCTGGGGGTGGAGAATGGGAGAGGTTGTGGCACACAACGAAAGCAAATGGTATTTTTAAATACTAAAAACCCTTAGTGGCAACATTTATATACCACTATTCTTATCTAGCCAACTGAAAATTCCTTGGACAACATTTAGCAAAATATCCCAAGTTTCAGTCTAGATGCTCTTAAATGCAAAAAAAGCATTTGTTTTAATATATTTGGAGTTCAAACTTATATTCTCCCCAGTTAATCCAAATTAACGAAGTTTAAGGCACAGCACTGAGATATCACTAAACAAAAATGGAAATAGGACCAGTTCCTCAAAATATGCCACTGAGTTTTACTTCTTCTCTTCTGGGTAACTATAACCTGTCCCCTTATTCTTAATTTGCAGACAAAAAGTCTGACAACTTATCATGGATGAAGTTCTGTTAAAAGACAACACAGAGGATCAGTAATCAGGTGGAAGATTCCCAGGGTAAGAAAGAGCCACTTAGTTCTGGAAACCATTCACGTTGACTTAGTCACGAGGTTAATCTATATATAGACTCATAAGCAAAGAGTGACTCAAACATTATTTGGGTTGTTTTAAAATATTACTAATAAAAAATCCTAACAAAGACTATAAATATTTGAGATAAAGCAGGCAATAAACAGACAAAAATTTCCTAGAAAACATAGACATCCTTCAGAAATGAAAGCGAGAAGCGCTCTGGGTCTGCTAAATATGATCACAGAATAAGAAAATTAAATTAAAATATATGACAACTATCATAAGTACAAAACCAAACTGAACTCACTGGTTAAATAATAATCCAAATTTTTAAATTAACTGAAAAAAACTGAATAGGGAGTCAAATCCATACTTACTTATCATCCCTTTCTAGACATTTGACTAGAATTGGTAAAATCCCAGATTTTATTAAGTCATCAATCGGTGGATTTCTGTCACTGGATAACAGTTTTCTAGGAAAATAAATATAAGAAATTAATTGCTATAATTTTCAAACTGTGAAAAGAAATAACAACGTATTAACTTCTAGACCACCAGGTAACATGACTGAGGAATGACACAATTCTCTCTCTGGACAAAGGAGTATTTACCTTGCTGCCTGGACAGCACTCAATTGGACCACTGGGTTGTCACTTGTGGCATTCTGCAATACCAAATGTAAATTTCAGAAATGAAAAAAAAATCAATTTCAAAATACTTCAAAATGAGAATATTAAATTAATAACATACCTGCAATATAGCTTCTAGTGTTACATTTTGCTTAAAAAGAAAAAAAAAAATAGTTCAGCAGAGTTTATTAGCAAAATCACATTCATTAAATAGTGTACCTGATAAAGTTAATATACTTATTATAAAGTTGGTGTTATATTAAAAATGAAGTTCTCACAGTTACTATAAAAATTATTTTAAAGTCACTATAAAAACATGGTAACTTACTGCTTTAAAATCAGCATCAACATCTGAATCTTCTAGACTTTCTTCTTGGGGAACATTTCTCTTTTTCAATAAGTGTTCATCTCTTTTGTTCTGAAAGGCAACCAATAAATGCTTAAGAAGTCATAAGGACTGCTGTTAATGAAAAATCCATTAAAACGACTTCAACTTTATTAGGCAATTATGAAACAAATACTGAACACATAAGGATAATATTAATTAAATGTGCATACTGCAAACCAATGACAAGGGTCACATTCTGGCTTTGGTAACAAAATTACCTGGCTTGCTTTTACACACATACTTCATTAAGCACCCACTGTGGTTTTTTTTTTTTGGAGACAAGAGTCTTACTCTGTTACCCAGTCTGGAGTGCAGTGGCACAATCTTAGCTCACTTCCAACCTCTGCTTCCCGGGTTCAGGTGATTCTCATGCCTCAACCTCCTGAGTAGCTGGGATTACAGTCGTGTGCCACCACACCTGGCTAATTTTTATATTTTTAGTAGAGATGCATTTTTGCCACGTTGGCCAGAATGATCTCAAACTCCTGGCCTCAAGTGATCTGCCTGCCTCCAGCCTCCCAAAGTGCTGGGATTATAGGCATGAGCACTGGCCAGCACCAGCTGTTTTGGCCATGTTGGTGTGCCTCCTAATCTCTAGGAAAGATTTAAATTTGGAGATGCAATATTATTACAAAGTCTAGCAAATATATTTCAACTGGCATGCTAGTTTTCATTTACTTATGGCTAATGGTTACCTGCAGCAGTTTATTAAGAAACCACCTTAATGGGAAGAGCCCAATGCTCAAATGTTGAGGTTTGCATATGCTTGCTAGGTGTGGGGAGTAGGAATTCATGAACATAAATGCTGCCTACCTGCCATCATCTCAGATTTAAACTCTTGCTATCTGGCTTTTACAAACAAAAATTCTCTATTAGCAAATCAATTTCCAAATTTCACTGAACTTCAATTGTTTGTTACGGTAACCTGTGCCATTTTACACATGTAGCTGTGAATAAATCACCAATTTTCTCTAAGTTTTTAGTTTTTCTATAGAATTAAAACAAGTTACATCAAGAGACCAAATAATGTCTAACATCCTTTTCAATTTAAAATTTCAAAAGGCATACTTCTAATGTTTGCTATATTTACAAGGTATTTCATTATAACAAAGTTACTGAAGAGACATTACTATTGATGTTAAAATTCAGATAAACTAGAAAATAAGATTCAGATACTTATTTCTATACGTATATAGAAACATGCTTATCCGCATGCCAATTTTTGTGCTGGGTATAAGCAAGCACAATTAAATAAACTGGTGTCTATATATGTCAATCAATAGTAGTTTACCAATTTCCACTTGTATAAGCATACTTCCTTAGTAACTTAACCAATTCTAAAATATTTTTAAATTAAAGCATCTCACATTATATAATCTCACATTATAAGCATCTCATTATATATATATGTGTGTGTGTGTGTGTATATATATATTCAAATCCATGCAGTGATATTTTACATGGTTTCAAGTGGCTTCCCACAGAATATTCATTAAAGTGGGAAAACTTGGCAGACAGCATTCTTGACCAAATGACAAAAGGTGTCACTATCAGTGAAGAACAAATCAACACTGTGTGCCTCCTGGGGTCTGGTGTACTAACAAAACATAACTTCTGTGGTATTCCTAACATAAATAACCTGAGAAATGCCAGAAAAACCCAAGTCTGTCATTCTACCAAAAAAAAAATAGCCCTATATTCTTCAAAAATGTAGTCATGAAAGATAAAGACTGAGGAAGAGTTCCAGATTGAAGGAGACTAAAGAAACATGACAACTAAATGCCATGTCTGATCTTGGCTTGGATCTTGGATTTATAAAGGACATAACTGGGAACCATATGCAAAATCTAAATTGGTTCTATGGATTGAATGGTAGATTTTTACCTAAGTTAGTTTGACAAGTGTACTGTGCTTATAAAAACAGAAACTATCTGTTTTTATGAAATATAAGTTGTTGTATTAAGGGAATTAAAGCATGATGCTTGCAATTTAACTGGTTCAAGGAAAAAAATGTATACAAAGATAATAATGCAAATATGAAAAATGCTAGGGAACCTGGGTGCTGAGTGAAGGGTATATGATGTTTCTATACTATTCTCACAACTTTGAACTTCAAACTACAAATCTGAAATTGCATAAAATTAAAAAAAAATTACAGTTACACTCTATGGTTTGTAATATATATAAAAATGTTTAACATCTTTTGGATTTAATCCATTTAAAAAGTTTTAACAAAGTTTATTGACAAGTTAACCCCCAACCCCAAATGATTTTAACACTGATTCCGTTCTATTTTCATTCTTTGACTCTATTTTCCTCTTTTCCAGAGCTTGATCAATCAAGCTTCCAGAGGTCTTTAAGGAATCTTACTCCCTCTATTCCTCCTTTCCAAGTATTTCTGGAATAGAAGAAATATAAAGCATAAATACAACTAAAGTTTCCTACATATACAGATCTCCAATCTGGGGATAGCATTTTATCATTATATAGGATGTGTACTGTCTTTTTTGGTAGATACCCTTTATTGGGCAAGGCAACTCCTTTCTATTCCTAACTTGCTAATAACTTTTTTCTTTATAGGCCATGAATGAGTGCTTAATTTCATCAAATTGTGCTTCTTTCCATATATTGAAATGGATATTATGTTTCCACTTTTATCTGTAAATATGGTAAATTAAATGACTTTCTAATATTAAACTATCCCTGCAAGTCCTGGAAACTTTATTAGAATTTTTTTAAAAATATTCATTCCTGAAATCAATTTGTTAATATTTTATCTAGGATTTTTTTCCTCAATATTCCTAAGTAAAACTGGCTAAAAAGTATCTTTTCTCAGACTGTCTTGGTCTGTTGCTTGGGATCATGGTTTTGCTAGCTTCATAAAATGAGTTGGGAAGTGTTCCCTCTTTAACTTCTCTGAAATCATTTAATAAGGCTGGAATTATCTGTTCCTTCAATGTCTGCCAGAGTTCCACCTGTAAGACTACCTTTTCTTTTACAGGATGGTGAGAGAGGTTAAATTTTTAGCTGTATTAATTTGATTTTTTTTTTTTTTTTTTTTTCCCAGGCTCGAGTGCGATGGCGCAATCTCGGCTCACCACAACCTCCACCTCCTGGGTTCAAATGATTCTCCTGCCTCAGCCTCCGAAGTAGCTGTTACAGGCATGCGCCACCACACCTGGCTAATTTTGTATTTTTAGTAGAGACAGGGTTTCTCCATGTTGGTCAGGCTGGTCTCGAACTCCTGACCTCAGGTGATCTGCCCACCTCAGCCTCTCAGAGTGCTGGGATTACAGGAGTCAGCCACCACGTCTAGCCTCTTTGATTTTTTTTTTTTTTTAAAGATCTATTCAGGTTATCTTCTTGAGTCAGCTGGGTAAATTAATTTTTTCTGCTAGGAAATTGCCTACTTCACATAAGTCTCCAAATTTATTTGCATAAGTTTTTTGTTTGCTTGTTTTTTGTTTTTGAGACAGAGTCTCACTCTGTCGTCCAGGATGGAGTACAGTGGCACGATCTTGGCTCACTGCAACCTCCGCCTCCCAGATTCAAGCGATTCTCCTGCCTCACAGCCTCATTAAGTAGCTGGGATTAAAGGCAAGTACCACCATGCCCGGCTCATTTTTGTATTTTTAGAAGAGACAGGGTTTCACCATGTTGTCCAGGCGGGTCTCGAACTCCTGGCCTCAAGTGATCCGCCTGCCTTGGCCTCCCAAAGTGGTGGGATTACAGGCGTGAGCCACTGTGCCTTGCCTATTTGCGTAAGTTTGCTCATACTTAAATTGTAGGTTGTCTGCAAAAATGGCAGTAATTCCCCTTCCCATATCCAGTCCCGCACTGACTGTAGGCATGGCTGTGTGACTGACTTTGGCAATGGGACGTTAAGCAAAAAGACTCGAAAAGTGCTTACACGTCAGAGACAGGTTCTCTTTTGCTACTTTTTTCCTGAAACCATCCTGTGAACACTGAGCCATGGAGAATGAGACTGCGTGGACAACAACCAAGTCCCAGCCAAGTTACCTGAGACCATGCTAGATCATCTAGTCACCAATCAATCCTGCGAGCTGACCAGAGACAATAAGGGAAGCCTGCAGAAAACAGCTGAACTGGCCTATGCCAGAAAACCCACTCCGCCAACCCATAAAACTGTTAGCTCAATAAAATGGCTATTGTTTTAAGGTACATAGTTTGGAGTGGTGTATTATGCAGCAAAAAACTAGCTGATGCACTCATGTTTTTAAATTTATGCTGTATTTAAATTAATATGACTTCTAAAATTCCTAGTATTTTGTTGTTGTTCCTTCTCTCTACTTGCTATAAATTTGTCTCCTGAATTACCACTTTAACTGTATTCTACAGGTTCTGACATGTAATAGTTTTCCTACTGTTCATTTTTAGGCATTCTTAGATTCCATTAAGATTTCTTTGATGCTCAATATATTCAATATATTCAGACGTACTTTAAAACATGAGGTTTTTGTAACTGTCTTATTCTAATTATATTGTGGTCAGAGAACACGTATGTACAACACACTGAAATTAGCTGACACCTGCTTTATACTAGAAGCTCCCAAACTTTCTCAGTCCACGGTGTAGGCCAAAGTACTCATTTGGGAAAAAGAAAAGAAAAACAAATAAATTGAAAGAAAAAATTATTTCACTCTTAGATAAAATAATTGGAGAAAGGAACGTAGTGTTATTTAAGTGTTTAAACTGTGGACTATCTCAAGATCTAAGTCTGTGGTGTCTGAAAGATGTCACTGTATTTCTCTCAAAATTAAAATATCCCAAAGACCCTTTCAGGTCACTGTGGAACCCCATGTTACCTCAGCGCAGAGTTTGGAAACTATAGCTTATTCTACCATAAAACCAGTTTCCAAATACATATGTGGTTTTACACGTGTTCATTAGTTAACATTTGTGAATTATTCAAATTTTCTATCTCTTCTTAATTGGTGTTTATTCATTACTAAGAAGACAATCTCCCACAATGATGTCTTTGATGAATTTCCTCTTCTAAATTTGCAAAT